TTTCTCTAGAGTTGGCATTTATTTCTGCTGTTACACAGTTATATTTTATATTGGTGCATTTTTAGATTTGCAGCCAAAGGCTTTTCCCATTATAGAAAACAGATCAAATTTTGACTGCTTTAAAGTGGTTTCATGTGCTTTAGAGAACAGAGAAAGAAAATAGTTATTAGTGGATTTCACAGAGGAGATCTGAAAAAACTTTTCCCATTTGCAGTTCTGTCGTACCAAGGTACAATACTTTGTACTGTGAGTGAGTGTTTTATATAGAAAACTTCTTTGAGTTTCAAATGCCCATATATTAAATTCCAGCTTCATCATGCTGTTGTTTCTTCTGTAGATCAGAGATGCTGGTTGTACGCTATTCTGCCTCTGCACAAGTTATGTTAGAAATTCACTTCCCATCAGCTTCTGTACCCTAAAAGCAGGCGTGTTGGTTGCTATGTTGGTATTTTGTTCCGCCAGCAATTTCATGCAAACTTCTGATGCTTATTTCAGTAACGGTGCACTGGAGGAAGGGAAACCTGTCGACCTTGTTCTAAGCTGTGTGGACAATTTCGAAGCTCGCATGGCGATTAACACAGTAAGACCATCGAAGGCGTGAGCTTGTGGAAGTATATTTTTTCCTGTAACTAATGTTGGCAACTGTGGGGACTGTAGAAAAGACAGGAACTTAAAAAGAATCTCTTAAGATAATGTCCCCCTTGGTTTAAGGAAACTGAATCTGAGCTTTTACTCAGTTCTTACATATATAAAATATTGGCCAGTCTTTGCGAACGAAGAACCGGGGAAGGTTTTTCACACCTTCCAGCCTGCGCATTGGATTTTTTAGGTGAGACACAGTGTGCGTGGAACTGAGCCCACCCTTTAATCCTGAGGTTCATCTGCTGGGGCCAAGCGAGCTTGGACGGTGGCAGCGAGGTCCTCAGGACGTAGATGGATTGCCTTACAGGGCTAACGAGCTCCATCTGCCTGGGGAGTGGCCCCGACCAGGAATCGAACCCGGGTCTCGGCGGTGACAGCGCTGTGTCCTTAACCCAGTTCTTATAAAACCCTAATATAACTGTAGATTTTTAAGTTACTAGCAGCTCATGGTTAGTAAAAGAGTTAAGTGTCATAAACTCTCTCTGTCTTTCCAGATTATCTTGTTTATGTAAAGGTATTTTCAAAGGCTGGTATGTTAAATCTTACAAACTTTTCAAAGACTGTCCATAGCTAATTGTATACTACATATGACTTTCTATATAATAAAAATTACTTAATGCTGTGTAACTAATCAAGTTGATTTTCTTTATAGTAGCAGCCAATGCAGGGTATATGCCAAATATATGTTTTCTGTTATCCTCCAGCTGACTGGATCCATAAATTGCAGGCAGGGAAGGTACACAGATACACTGTATCCAAGCCTGTAAAAGTAGATTGTACGATTAGATTCTGTAGTGTGCTGTAACTGGATGACTAATGTCTGTATTTGTTAAAAAATCTCAGGTCCTCAGGAAAGCACAACGGGCTAGCTTTGTGAGAGCAACTTTAATTTGCCTTTTGATTTGTCTTTTAACTCTGCTAAATAATTTCTATTCTCTCTCTTCATGTCCCTTTTTCTGATCATAGCCTTTTTGTCTTAAAGCAGGGAGATGAATGTGTTTAATCACTCTCAACTTACATTATTGTTTGAGTTTCTTTTCATTTCTGTTAAACTTCTGCAGTGCTGATGTGTGTGTTTCTGTGTTTGTAAGGCCTGCAATGAACTTGGACAAATCTGGATGGAATCTGGAGTCAGTGAAAATGCAGTGTCGGGACACATACAGCTGATCATACCTGGTGAATCCGCCTGTTTCGCGGTATGTGGCACTCTGCTAATTAAAGAGGGACTGGGAATATGGAGATTAGCTGGCTAGTGAGAGTGATCCTGGCACAGCTCATTCAGTAGCTGAAGATTTTGTGTGATCTGTGGGATTTCTTTAATGCTTCTTTTAAACTCAGTTTCTTTATTTCCCTTCAGTGTGCTCCTCCCCTTGTAGTTGCTGCAAATATTGATGAGAAGACATTAAAACGAGAAGGAGTTTGTGCAGCCAGTCTTCCTACAACTATGGGTGTTGTGGCAGGAATGCTGGTACAAAATGTTCTGAAGTAAGTGACTGAGTTGTTGCTGTTCGATTTACAGCCCAACAAGAGAAGAAAAACCTGAAGGAACTTTCCATAATGATGGGCCTGGCTCTTTTTAAATGTCTGTGGCCTGTTTCCTAATGGTATTGGCATGATTGGACAGGGCTGAAGTTATACACTGCTTGAAACATTGATGTGTTTACTTTGGAACTGCTGTTTTAAGTAGAACTTTTCAGGGCTAAGAAACATTCTCAGGGTCTTCCAAAAAATTTCTTTTACTGCAGACACACATGCACATTTTTTTCTTAGTTCTGCATTTAAAGGTGCTCTGTTTTGACATCATGAAGCTACACATAAAAAATTCTACAGGGCTGACTTGTCTTTGAAATTTTGTACATGGACAAAACATAAATTATTTCTCTTGCAGTGTTTTTAAAAATCTGTTATAAAGCAATATGACATATTTTAGTACTGTTATAAAAATAGTTATAAAGCAATATGCAATATTTTAATATTTTCAAAAAGCAGTTGCATGATTCCAACTGCTACAGGAATTGCATGTATCAGCAAGGAAAATATTTGAACAACTTTGTACTCATTTTCAAAATGACACACTGTTTTACAATAAAGATTATTAAACTGCTTCTGATCAGGTGTTTAAAACTTCCACATTGTAATACAGGGCACCCCAGTGTTTCAAGCAGTGGATTAAGGCATGTGAGGAAACTGCTTATATGCTACTCTAAACATATTTCTGAGTGTAGCTGATGTGTTCTCACACACACCACAAGAGAATCAGATTCTATATTGATCTAATTATGCTGTTGTTAGGTGACTACAAATTATTTAGGACAATTACAGTAACTCTTTACAACTACAGTAGTGTGACTGTATTCTAAAAGCTCTATGAGGAAAAATTATTCCTTGAGCAACTGAAGTTTTAGGTTTGCATAAATATAAATTACTGTATATAAACTCCTTCTTTCTCTGTGTTTCTAGATACCTGTTAAATTTTGGTACTGTGAGTTATTATCTTGGTTACAATGCAATGCAGGATTTCTTCCCAACTATGTCTATGAAGCCAAACCCACAATGTAGTGACCACAATTGCAGAAAACAGCAAGAAATTTATAAGGTAAAAATGGTTTGGATTTTCTTTTTTTCCCTTTCTTAAAATCTTAAGAACAATGCCAGTTACAAATGTGTAGTAAAAAAACCCGTTAATTGCTACTCCAGTTTTAAGCAGCCTTGTCCTCAGATGGTTGCACATGTTTCTAAATATACAGTATGTAGAGTTATCTTAAAGCAAAGGGTAGGAAGAATGGCTTGCATTCAGTTAAATAATATTTTCTTGTACATAATGGCTTAACCTTTCTGGCAGTCCTATTTATTAATGGGTTTGGTGTTTTTTACCCAGCAGGTATTCTGCCTTTTTTATGGCTAACAAAGTTCTAAACTGTGACTGCTTATCTTAAATATTGAAAGAAACAGGAATATTAGATTTGATCTTCTTCACTATTACATTTTGCTTATTATGGTTTTTATCTTTCTGTGTTTTTCCTTCAGAAGAAAGAAGCTGCACGACCAAAACAAGAAGTAATTGAAAAGGAAGATGAAATAGTACACGAAGACAATGACTGGGGTAAGTCACCAACTGGAGATTAAATAATGTTCCCAGTACCAAGATGCAGGTTGGGTGAACATACTGTAGGATACAGAGAATTCTTATGGTTCCTATTTTTTGTAACTCGTACTGTGTAATTACTGCTGGCTTTTCACAGGTTTTGACAATATTTTTACCACAACCTGATGATGCGTTTTTAGTGTAATGTGCAAGTTTTTAGGCTCAAAATGTAACTGCTGCTTGAATAAAAAACTTTCTTGGAAGATGGTCCAAGGATGAGAGAGATGTGAGAAGATGCATTGACTGGGCATGCCTTTTAAATATACTGAAGAGCATTTGTCATTTCTATAACCACTGTGCAGAGGCATCCCATGGAATTTTTATATTCCTTTGAGGGCTTTATATTAGAAGGAATTAAGTCTTAAGGAATGGTAAATGGTTTTTATATAACTATTTCAAGAACAGGGGTATATATTCTGTTTATTATATGATCTAGAAAATAGTCTTATCTTACCACTGGCAGAGGTGTCCACATAGTAAGATTTAAATGGTAAGGACAAGGAAGAGGTGCCATTCTTGTCCGTAAGTTAAATATATAGAATTGTTTCATGTATTGTAAAGAGAAGATATTTTCTATTGATAATGGAAGGAAGTGGTTGCAATCAAAGGACTTCCTGCTTTTAATTTTTCTCTCTTTTGGAAAAGTGGCTGCACTCACTCTTACTGTGATAGCTTGGTTATTAAAGAACTTTTTCTTCTAACTTTTAATGGAGTTCTTGATTCCTTTTAATGCAAAGGCATCGAATTAGTATCAGAAACTTCAGAAGAAGAGCTGAAGGCTGCATCTGGCCCGGTACCTGACCTTCCTGAGGGAATTACTGTAGCATATACTATCCCAGAAAAGGTAACATACTTGTTCTTTATGAATTTTTGAAATACACATTGTAGGTTAACTTTAGAATACCAGCTAGTTTGGTAACCTTTAAACCTAAAATAAAATTCCATCTTGAACAGTTCCAGTGAAACTGGACCTCAGTACATCTGATTAGGACATCCTATGGTCCACTTCTGTGTTTCTATGAAATACATTTCTTTAAGTATGGAAGCTGGTGTGAATGTAGTTTTGAGGTGATAAGAATAAATGCTTTTCGGGGCTGGGGGAAGGAAAACAAATGTGAATTTCTCAGTTGCTTTTTGGTGACTAATTAATTTTTACCATACTTATCTTATAAAAGCTGTGTGTAGTCAAAGAGCAATTAGTATACCTGGGAAACATAGAACTGTATGTCTCGCAGCCAGAACATTCTAACTCCAAAGCGAGATAGTTTACAATTTAAGTGTATAATCACTTGCACCTAATCCAGCAATCAAGTGCCTGCTTCTAGGAAAATGATGTGGTGTAAAGGCAATAAAGCTAATTTGTGTGGGGTTTTTTGTTTGCTATTTTTTTGCCAACTTTTTCTTCCTGTTCCTAATAGGAAGAGAATTTAATAACGAAGGACACGGTAGCAGAGTCTGAAGAAAGCCTAGAAGAACTCATGGCCAAAATGAGAAATATGTAGAAAAACAAATACTAAGTACAACTTTGGATCAACATGGATTTTGAGAAGACCAGTCTTCTTACTTTTTTTCTTTTTTTACCTCCAGTGAAGCTTACCTTTACCTTTCTAAAGAAGCGGAACTGTTACAGGGGCAGGAAGGACACAGATTTACATTGTTCATGTTTTGTTGTCTAGTCACTCTTTACCATACAGAGTTGTGCTACTGTAAATTTTAGTTTCTCAGCATTGCTAGTGTCCAGATATTCAGTAGAAAATAAAAGGACATGGACAAACTAACAAAAGCAGGCATAGCACATCGTATGTCCTGTCATGTGAGGAGAATAGTACGTAGTATAGGACAAGGGAAAGATGAAATCTGCTGGAGTGGACTGAGAAGGTGTAGGGAAGATGACAGTGCCTCATTCGTGTTGCTGCTCCTGATTTTCCTGGCATTTGTCCTTGGTTGTTGTTCATTGGTCTAAATTCTTGGCATGGATCGTGCTGTGGCTTCTTTTTCTGAGTAATCAAAACATTTAAGTCTTTTCATCTGCCTTAAGTATCTCTGGGATGGCATTTTTTTTAAACTTGCCTAGTTTTATCAATGTCTTACTACTGCTTGTCCTTAAATAGCTCCTATAGGGTAATGTTTTGAGTATATTGTAAGAAGGTGAAGTCTTTTTGTTAGTATTATATGAGCAGATTGCATATTAGCATGTCACTATTTCGGCTGGCACATGCTTTTCTTAACAAAATTACAAGCAACATTGGAAAGAACAGGAGATTTTATCTCTCTCTTCAAAAATCACTTAAGTATTATATTTTTGTTGGTTGTTAAAAGTCTAGCTGTAATTCTGATCCCTTCCCATCATATGGGCTTTATGAAGGAATTACTACATGATAAACTACATCCTGTAGTGCCAGTACCCTGCAGAACTGGAAGGATCTGTGGCTGTCTGATCCAGAACTTGTTTGTTATTTCAGTTTGGCTTTGAAGGTAAATTTCAGCAGTATAATACAAGTATTTTCAGGTTGGGCTCTTCGAAAAACTTTTCCACAACATGATGCAGCCAACACAGAACCAGCTAGTGATGGTAGTAGCAGTATCCCAGCTCCGTGTAAAGAGAGTGCAATATTGTGGCTTCTGCTGCTTAGGGCAGCTGAACGAATACTTAGTGAAAGAAATGTTTCAATTCTTTAGTAACGGTTACAAACTTCAAAATCTGTTTCCTCCACAGCTGACATCAGGTTATATTATACACAGAATAATCATCTCTGAAGCTAGTGAGGGAGGTTTTAGGTGGGTTTTGAGTGGGGTGCATTATACTGTAAAATGGAACTGGTTTTTTTGTTTGGTTAGTTTGGGGTTTTTGATTGAGTTCAGTTTTTGAGAAACCAGATCTCAGAATGAACTGTAAAGAAGGATGGGAAATGGAAAAATGTGACCACTAGAAAGGTTCATACTTGAATCTGTGTAACTGAGTCTGTGTTAGCTTCATCCAAGTGTCATTTTAAGTGTTACTTACATTTCTATATGACTTCTCCTTTCTGTTGGGAACAATAAAAGTGAGGCACACACCTGGCTCTGGAGGTCCTGAGGCAAATGGCTGAACTCATTTCTACAACAGCTCATCTTGACTCTTAACTATTTGGCTGACATGACTGCTATCACATGATTGACAGCTTTACAAGAGGCAACTTCACGTACATGTTTATGAGCAAATTAACATACTTTTGTATGCCCAACTACAGAGTAAAAAAAATGGTTTTCATGTTACTTTCAGACTTGCAACTTGTATATACACGAGAAATTTGACATAATCAGAAAATACATTAGGATGATTGTATGTGCCAATGGTTAAATTATTTAAAAATAAACAGCATCCAAAAAAGCAAATTTAAGGATTTTTTTTTAATTAAAAAGACATTTACAAGTATAATCTACTCCAACTGTAAAACACGATAGAAAATTTATAACTTCTTTTGTTATGAACTAACAAATTAAAGCACATTGCCAGGGTTAAGTCCAGCTTTATTTGGCAGTCTTGTAAAAGAAGTTTTCCGTTTTTACAGTGCAGCATGAAAATTACTAAGATGTTGATATTCTGTAACTGTGTAATTAAATCTCCCTTGAAGCTGGTGACCCTCAGTTTTGAGGAGGAATTCTCCTACAGAGAATTATTACCTGGCATACACTATATCTACAAATTACTTTTCCTTACTGTCCATGAGGTACAACTACAGGGACAGCTGTCTTATGAGCACGCAGTGACTACAGCTGACATGCAGCCATGGGATCCTTAGTCCTATGTGATCCTGCTTTACTTTCTGTAGTAAAGTCTAACATAGCACTGAAGATCTAGAAAGTCGCTTCTTATTTGAATCAGAAACATTAAGGAAAACTATTTAGGAGAGCAAGATACATCATTTTACATGTTAAAATCAGACCAGAGGTGACAGACCAGACATCTGGTAATTCTTTAGAGGAGGGAATTACCAGACCTAGGAACAGCAAGCAACAGAAACACACACAAACTAAGTAGGTTGAGGTTTTTTGGTTGTTTTTTTTTTTTTTAATGTTCATTTTCCCTTCTGCCCCCCTCAGCTGGTAACAATCCTGCAAAGAAAGTTTCCCATTTTCAAAACTCTTCAAGGTAGCTGGAACACAGTGGTAAAATTCTTGCTTTGATTAAAAAGCTACTTTCTGAATAAGAGGACAATATCCAGAGAGCTGTAACAAAGTGCCAGCTCTTGTTGCTGTATTGTAATACCTTCAAGAGTTGTTTTTTTTTTTCCAAATGAAATCTTCATCTTAAAAATCAAATTTAGGCTGTATGTTTGTGCTGTCAGTTTCATATACTGTTTCTTTTGCCAAGTTACAACCTTACAAAAATATTAAATTCTTCCTGACTAGAACAAGGGCTGAAATGGGTTATATTTAATTCTACTCCAAAAGGGAAAAAAACAGGGTGCAAGGTAAGTACTCCTTGGAGGTGAAGGTGCATTTTTCAAACTGGATCAAATAATTCTTTACATTAATTGCCTCTGAAACATTATAGTAAGGTTTCAATTAATTTTCAACTTAAATTAATTTAAATTGATTCATGGATTTGTGCACTGAATCAGAACAGACTTCAAACTGATTCTTCCAGATGACTAGGGTGTTAAGGAATACAAGAGGTAGGTAGATGGGTTTATCATCTCTGTATCTGATGGCAAACTATTTTGCATCACTAGGTTTTCCCAGCAAATACAAACACTTCATGTATTTTAAGGGATTGAGTGACATTAAACAGTGAAAATATCACTAAAGGTTTAACAACAGGTAATTGGGCCACAATCATCTCCATTCTGATTCCTCACTGGAAATATTTTTACAGAACAGAGTGGAATCTGACAACAGCTTTAACTGTAAATGATGATACATGTAGATATGTTAGCTTCCCAAGGAAAGCAATTAATTTTGCACAAGTCCCTTGAATGCAAGTTTGCTTAAAGCTGAAATAACCCTGCAGGTAAAACTTTCAGTGGAACAGTATTTTCAAAAATTTTTCAAAATTACCATCTGTTCAGAAACAACTTTAAAGGCTTCTGAAAAGTGAGAAAGGATTGATGAAGCGAAAATACATAAATCCTCTAAGCCATGCTATTACAGCACAGAAATAAGAACTACCCCATAGAGTTTATACAAACTATGGTTCAGCTTAACTTGTTTTAATCCTGGCACTTAGGCTAAGAGGTATCAAGTCCATATTCTTGGTATTAGCTATAACTTGAGCAAGCAACTAATATGTGCACCTATATACAATGAAAGCAGCTCACTTCGTACCATACAGCCTGCAGAGTTGGAGGATTTCAAGCTGAAGCATTTGTTTCCCTGTCATTCATGAAGACAGGTGTCGGTCCCAAAATAGTATGTAATCCTTAGAAAAAATGGATTTGTCTTGGGAATTTTCTGTCTGCTTTAACATATCAATAGAGACTGCATTTTCTTGAAGCAGGTTTATATCACCTTTGTCCATGTTCCAGGAAAATATTTGGTGATAATGCACTTTTTAAGCTGAATGTGTCTCCACTCGATGAATGTCGAGAAGTTGCTTTACCACCTATCAACAAAGTCTCTGCTTCTTTTATTTCCATAGCTCTCTTGTAAAGTTCAGCTGCCTTCTCAAAGTCTCCTCTTTCATAGCTTTGGAAAAGAGTAAAACGCAGTTGAAAAAAGCAAATAAAACAAGGCTCTCAAATCATTTAAATGATTTACACACCACAGAGTACTTAAGGTTCTCTACTTTCCCGGCAAGTACACAAGCCCAGGATGTTTTGTTTCATCCAGTAATTTGCTTTTATAGGGTTGAAGGATATAGTCTTACCTTAGCACAGCCAAGTTTTTCAGTGTTTCCCCCACACGAGGATGCATGTGGCCAAAGCTGTCTTCATAAATCTTTAATGCACGTTCGTAAAGAGGCAAAGCTTCAACCTGTTTTTTCTTTGGGTAGTAGAAAGTTTTTTTTTTTTTACAGATGTGTATCACATTTGCTTTTCTTTTTTTGCCAACATAGTATCAAAGCATCCTAGATGCATATTTAACCAGCAAGATGTTTTGAGTTCTCAATAGTATTGACACGTGAGGATGAGAATTGAGATTGTCAAAGCAATTGGCTTGCACTTGCAAATGCAATTCCCACTAATTCTAATTAGGGTTTGGACTTCCCATGCAGTTCTGAAAACCTCAGTCCTGAAAGATCTACCAGATGCTCTTTAATTTTACCTAAGGCAGCTTTAATCTCTGTTTAAAAATGAGATAAACAGATTGCAGAAATCCAGGAAACGAGAAAACAAACTCCTATTGATGCTAAGAAGTTCAGCAAGTTGATTGCATCTCCTTTGAATCCTGTATTAGCTGCAGGCTAGAAAGCCCGCAGCCTCCTCAGGTTTTTAGTTATGCAAGTCATACAAGGAATTTCCCTTTTAAACACGATCAAGGTTCTTTGGTTTTATTGAGGTACAAATCATTAAAAAGTCTAGGACAGGAAAAATAAACACGTTAGGCATGAAAAACTTACCATCTGACAATAAAGGACAGCCAGATTTACCAGAGCAGTTGCTACACTGGGGTGTTTCGGGCCAAATGACTTCTGTCGAATTTCAACTGCTAGCTCATACAGAGGAACAGCCTTGTCAAGTTTTCCCTAGAAATAACAGGGGAAAAAAATTATCCATTTCTCTTGTATCAAGATAGTAACAGTAAAACCTAATTTAAACTAAAGCCTTGGAGGCAATATAACTGTTTCTGGAATGAGGGGTTAACTTCGGTTAATTAATAGTTATATTTTGCACAGATTGTTTATCATGAATATTTATTATGACCTAATTTTCCAAAATAAGGAGCATATTCAACTCCCAGTTAACATGCTTCTCATCTGTCTATTTCTTCCTTTCTTAATTTAATTTTCCCCCATAAGTGTGTCACTGAGAAAGCTGTTAAAGAGAATTTTCATTGTACTTTAATCAAAATAATTTTCCCCACTGAATTTTAATTTGTGCTCCTTCAAACTGGTAGAGTTTTTTGTTGCAAATACTGAGTGCTTTTGCAGTTCCTAGCAGCATGAAATTTAGAAGCAAAGAATATGTGACCCCAAACCATTTAATGCACAGAACAGCAGATAACAATTATTTAGCAAAAACACAGGCACATTTGATCCAAGGGATTATCTTCAAGGTCTTTTTTCTCTTTGAAGAATAGTAAAATGTGAAAATATAAAATAAATAAATTTTTTTGTCATCCACTGAATGTGATATTGGTTCAACAGTTGGAAACTGTATATCACTATTAACTGAGATTATCAAATAGTTAGAACAACCATCTACAAACACAGATATTCATAAAACATTTTGAAATTATGAAATGCAGTTTGTACTGCATTTACACATGTTATTCCCCACAGTGCATTTTACAGGGGAGTAACTCTCATCTTTCACTAGGTCAATGTAAGCTAAAGATGGCTTAGCCAGACAGTTTATTTGTAAAGTACTATCTTGCTTGTAAGCCTTAAAGTTACCCTCAAATGGACTGCAATGTTCAAGGTCATTGTGTAAAAAGAACTAATTGTATACCCCTAAACGTGATTTTTGCCATGAGGACATAATTGACCAAACCCTTGCATGTGGATGTCACGTAGCAGACAGTGGAGAACTCAAACACAGCCAGGAGGAGCTTCCCTCACTTGCGGATAAAACATTCACTCTTCACTAAACTAGACATTCTTCGTGGTGAAAACTGAGCATGCAGGACACTGACAACATTAATCAGAAATAGCTTTCCTTTAAGCTGGGCTCTTTGGAAACATGCTGAGGCCATTTTACTACATATTTTATGCATGTGTTTAGAACACCAATAGCTGCCAAAATGCCCATGCTCCACTTCTTTTGGACTGAAGACTGTAACGATGGAAGGCATTACAGTTCATTTACAGGCTAAGAGAAGGTAACAGGCTTGTACTCACCATTTTTTTGTACAGCACCGCCAGGTGTTTCACAGTGTAAGCCAAGGAGGGATGATCTGGAGCTAACGCTCTCCTCCTGATGTCCAAGGCTTTCTCATAGAGCTCCTCGGCCTTGTCATAGTACTTCTTCTCATTGTACAGGGCTGCCAGATTGTTCAAAGACTGTGCACAGTCCGGGTGGTCGGATCCCAGGACTCTCTCTCGCATTTCCAAGGAGCGCTTCAGGAAAAGCTCCGCTGCCCTACAGAACATATTTGTTCAGCGATATTTTAGCATTATGGTAACATCTCTACAGACTCAAGTGCCTGTTTGAAACAGAACAAACTCGGGCTTGGAAGCTTCACAGGTGTTGCCAGCTGGTAATGCACTTTCTTCAACATAAGCAAATGGCAAATCAGCAATTCTTTTATGCAGTGTGGAGCTGTACATCCTGATAGGTATGATGTCAATGTGATGGATGTAGACAAAGAGATAGTTAATGTATTTCTGTGCAAACCTGGATCTCCCCCATTAAGGAATGAAAAGCCCATCTAGCAGATTACACGCCCCCATAGCTACCCTTTTCTTTAATTCAACCTCCATCTTCAGTTATGCAAGTCATCCTTCCTTATTCAAAACATTCTTCAGACTTCTGGGCAACTCCTCAAAATAATCAAATACTTCCATGGATAAAGCAATCGTGATGTACGAGGTAAAGGTTTAGGACACACCACACATTTCTTAAGTAACTTTAAAAGCTGTAAAACATGTTAAAGCATTCAACAGACAGCTTGTCATGCCAAAGGGGGAGAGACTGGAATGGATTTTATATATGCCATGGGCTAGATTCTCATAGTAGAATCTGTGAGAACTGACAAACTAGAAAAGACTCTGTGTAATGCCACCACTCAAGCAAAGGGCATATTTTATCTCACTGCAGTCGTGTGTTACTATTCCATTACAGGTTTACAGCAGCTCCTCTGTCAAAACAATGGGTGATTTCCCCATAAGACTGACAGCATCCATTATAACTAGGTAGTTCCTCATCCTGACATACACAAAAATTCAGTGTGATGCTATTCCCAAGACGTCAGCTTAATAAATTAGAAAAATCCATTTCATGTTAAAGAAAAAAAACCATTGATACACAGAATGATAAGTTCAATTCTGGAGCTCTTAGACAAGTGTCAAAAGGTGTTCGTTGTATGTAAGGATGATGTGTGATATATAGATATTAATTAAGAGACATACCCTTTCACCATGGATTTCATTTTAACTGCACAAATTGTCAAAAAAATCAGTTTTGGATTTGCTCGTTTAGAACAGAGACACAATATCCATTTTAAAAAGTTCCTTAAATCTCCACTAGAACAAAGTTCATACTTTTGCTCACCTATGAAATAGTGGAGATACTGTTACTCTTGAAGTAGGTTGTGTTGAACAGGAACTTGGTATGAACAATGTGGAATATTAAACAATCATGTATGAGATTAGATAAGATACTGCTCCTCTATAATCAGTCACTTCACAAGGGTAAACTGAGGAAAACCCCCAAATTTCCAACAACTGTTAAAAATCAATTCCTTCACTGCAGAGGTTATGCATTTAACAGAGATTCTGTATGCACTTCCTAAATAATTATATACTTCTTAATTATCCAAAAGCTACTAGTGCCATAAACATCATATACAGGAAGAATGTAAAAATACTTTCAGAACTTAACCTGTGCTTTTTCACTGGGCACTTTCCTTCTTCTCTGAAAAGATTTGGTTCAGTAGAGTGGGATTTAGGGTGACTTTACAATTCCCTCACAACACACAGTTTTAGACGACTTTCTGGACTGAAGAAGTTGATGTGAAAAGTGGCTAACCATGCAATCAGAACTGTTCTGCACCTTTTATTCCCATTCTTCAACACCCCTGCCTATCTCTGCCTGCTTTTAGAGCACCTTTGTGCTGCTTTGTCCTCTTTTGCCCTTAGACAGGTCACCAGGGTAAAATCGTGATGATTACAAGCACAGTCATTATTTAAGTCATGATTTCTTGTAATACCGGAATTTTGAGTGTTTTTCATAGAAAAACAACAATCCTGCTATTCAAAGATGAACACTACAAAGGAGAGTCATAAAATCGTGAAGCTGAGTAGAGGAGGCACGAATTTGAGAACCCGTATCTGCAACAAAGGCAACTGGGGAACATCAATTCTGAATGCAGAAAAAGAACTGATTTGGTAAACACTCAGGTGCCAAAAGCATCAACTCTAGAAAATATGAGTGAATTTTACAGCAAAGAAAAACCAGTGGAATGACTCAGGGACTGCACTATAACAAGTAATTGGTCATGTGTCTACATTTAATGTTTGTTCTCCATGCTTTGCCTCCATTTAGACCTCTGAGACCACTCAGTGGAGGTGTCACAATTCCTACAACTTACTCAAGATTGTTCTGCAGGTAGTAGAGGACTCCAAGCTCATTAAGGGTTCGAGCATTATCTGGTGTGTCCTTGCCCAGCGTGAGCTCTTCCAATTGCAGGGCTCTTTGACGCAGGAGAGCAAAGCCACACTACAGCAAAGAACAAGGTAATGTAAGCCAATCACCATTACTTTTGAAGTTTAACACTCAAGACAGAAAACCAAAAGGAGCACAGTAATTCTATATAAGTTCTTTTCTCGAGCTACATGGCTCATGCTTATTTATAACATAACTAAAATGTGAACGTTTGGTGACAATTCTCAGGCAATTCAAGTTACTGTGCTGTCACACAAACTGTTTTCCCTGTATCATACATGCTAATTTGCTTAAACTCCACAGTTTAAACAACCAAAATTTAGACCAAATTCTTAGGTTTATAAGCTCAAAACCTAAAATCAATGTAATCTCCAACATCAAGTGCCATGTACAAATGCTTTTACAGTATCACTCAAGGCGTCACCGGGATCTTTGTAAAATGGGCTGCCAAGTTAATGCTTACATGCAAAATGATTCACAAGTAAGAAGTGTGGCCATTGTTACACACTCTGCCTATTTTTGATCTTTGCAGTCTTAATAAAAAATATTTGTGCAGCAAAATTCATTACAGAAATGGACCAAATATTTATGAACCAAATTCATTTGTATTTAAGCACTGTGGGAACAGCAACATTTTTATGGTTTTTTACTACTTTCATTACAGCTGCAACTAGAGCTCTGGAGTTACTAGCTGAACTCTTACAGCACAGGCATTACATGACAAACCCTCAGCTCAAGAATGACAAGAGGAACCCTGGAGCTGGAAAATAGCACAGAAGATAAAAACTCAGTATGTTACCTAATACCATTACTGGGATTTTCCATTGCAGTAAGCATTGTATTCACTGGTAGGATAAATGCCTCAGCTGTTCTGGAGAACACCTTTTTCCCTTGTGACTTTGACAGACAATGCTATCAGCAGTAATTCTGCTCCCCTGAAATCTATATATCCACTTCTTTCTTTTCCACTTCTCTCAACTCTCTTCCAGTTGTACTGATACATGTCCACTTCCAGCAGAGTTGAAAGGGCAGCTACTAAAGCTGCTGCTAAGCTACTTCACTGCCTACAATTATCAAAAGCCCTCGAGCTTTGTCAGCTCTGCAGACACGTTTTATCATCTCTTTAGCAGAGCTGCAACATGCCCTGCACTTCTTTTGAAATATCACACGTTTCCTTACCAAACTGCCTTTCTGCCTTGCTGCTCTTTGCCGTATTTTGAAGGACTTTTTCCTCAGCTGCTCAGCCTGTTCATATCTGAAAATAGTAATTTGTAGTGTTAGAAGGATGTCAAATGTAGCATCAATGAGTATGCTGAAGAGGTTCTAAGTTACTTGAGGGTATAAATTTGAGAATTTAGAAATCTTGAACACAGTCATATTTTTTGTCAAAGATAGAAACACCCAAACTGCCAAGGGCCAGACAATGCTCCTCCTTTATCTCTGTAAGTTTTTTGTTAAACTAAGCATAAAAATGGGTCCCTCCTAGGTGGCCTGCTACAAGAATAGAGAGGCGATGCTCACGGTTGCATTAGAACATATTAACTCAAAAAAAGAAGCAAAGAAAAATTCTGGCTTCAGGAAGAAAATCTTTGCTGTTATTTTTCTTGTACTACCTCCACATAAAAGAAAAACAGCGCTGTATTTAAGCTTACTTGTTCTGCTTTTGGTACAAGGTCGCAAGCGCATCAAGTTCACGGGCTACACGAGGGTGTTCAGCTCCATATGCGTTTTCAGAGATTTCCAGTGCCTGTTTATACAGCTGCTCAGCATTTCCAAACTTCTTCCACTGAACATACACTCCTGCTAGCTGGTGAAGTGACTGTGCCACCCTGGGGTGGTCTGGATCCAGCGCAGTCTCTCGAATCTCCAGAGATCGCTGCAGAGGAGCTACAGCCTGTAACAACCAAGTTCAGAGTATGACGGCAGCAGGCAGCATCACACATGCTAAAACAATTTATCAACTGCAATAGAAAGCACACACTGAGCTCTGCTTAATTTGCCTTTTTGCTGTTACAACAATCTCTAAACGTACTTACCTGACTGAGAAGACCTAGGTCCTTAAGAAACCGTCCCAGGGTCTCATAAAGATCAGCCAGGCAGATCATACTTTCCTCTCCCTCACAGTTTTTTTCATATTCTTTCAGAGAGTCAAAATACTCAGCTGCCATAGAGCTCTTATCTTTCCCAACCAGCTGCCAGTAACTCAGCAATTCTGCAAAATGTCCCCTGTTTTAACAAGGAAATAAGAATCTCATCTTATCTCTGATACCCCTCTATTCAGACTGACACTAGCTTAGAAAAAAAGGGCCATATGCACAAATGTTGTCTTTATGCTACAGCATCTACAGAGACAATCCACAGAGACTAATGCTATTCAACAGCAATATTTATCCCTTTACCAACCCCCAGGTGTAACAGAATAGAAAAAATAGATTATTATTATTATGAAAACAGCATTTAGCACTTCAGCCTCTGTTATTTAAGTGCTTTTAATCTGCATCTGTCACTTTTTGATTTATACTGACAAAAAATTACTTTGAAATGTTTATAATCCCCAAAGCAGTGGCTACCTTTGTACCTTTTGTAAAGGTTTTGGGATACAAAGAGATTCAAAAGACACTTGTGTAGCTTTTGCTTATCATTCTGCTGTTGGAAGAGCCAGGGAAGTTCATCTGCGCTTCTCCAAGTCACTCGGTCTCGACTATTAAAAGAAAAACAAATCAAAATTAAAACCCCAAGAGGTCTAACAGAACTTGTCAATTTGATATGAAAATTAGGCAAGCATACAATTGCCACACCTGAATGTCTAAACAGACAGATTACTGCAAGACCTATGGACTCCATTTTCTTGCATCTTCATTTTAATTTCACCTCAGAACCCCCAGGCACTCCCCAGGAAGCTGTTTCTCCATCCTGTATGGGCTAATGTGTTCCTGCCAGCAGGACTGCAGCCCTACAGTATCCCAGTGTCCCTTCGTGCCTCCTCTGTCTGCCACTTGGCTTTCTGCTACCCAGCGGTGGATGCTCAGAGGAGCAGTAAGTAGCAGCCCACAGCTGGGACACACTAACTCAGGATGTAAATGCAAATCAGTTTGCAATCTGCATATGAACTTTTAGATGTTCACCTGTCCTCCTGCACCTCCTCTTACATATGTGCCAACTGCTTGCTGAACACTAGAGGTCTTCTGATTCAAGTTCCAAGCAACCTTAAATTTCCTAGCATTTACTGGGAGTTAAAAATCCATATGAGGTCAGATACAAATTAACTGATATGGTATGAATTCATGCCCTATATTTTCACCTGATAACTTTGTCATTATCATAGCCCATTCCCTTCACAGTGCTCATTCCATTCCAAGATTAAAAAGTAACATATAAATAAAACTTCTAAACTGGGTTTTGCAGAGTTATTTTGCCATAATAATTTACTAAACTCAGTCAAAGAAGGAATATGAAGAAAACAAAAATATCTTTGAGGCAATTTAGCACTTCTTGAGAATTCTGACCCACCTTAACTGCATGGTGAAATACTCCACTAGTTTCTGTCTATAGGCAGAAATAACATTTTCACCTTCTTCCATATACTCTAGTTTCACCATCTCCCAAGCCTGAAAGTAAGTATAATTAAAAGCAAGAGAATGCATTTAATTTGTTTAAGTGACGATGATACACAGAGTGTTAAGCAAGATGAAACACATTTTATAGAATGAAAATCTTTCAAGGACACAGGCACTATTAACAGATTGTCTTATAATAGACCAAAGTTCTGGTTCTTTAGGAATTATTCCTTTCTCCTTCAATTTTTCTTGGGTTTTTTTGTGGAACCAGTTTTTTCTGGGGCACATGGAGTTAACAATTAATAGACCAGAAATTTATGAAGATCTGAAAGATCAGATTTTCAGCAGTATTGGTATCACGGCTCTGGTAGTTTTCAGGGTGATTCTAAATCAGATCAGATGTTAGGGAGAATGGATGAGCAAACACAAACACATCAAGGCCTTCCTAGCTAACAACAGAACTTATCTAAAACCATGGGTTGGCACTGGCAGGGGTGGGGGAGAGTTTCACTTGCACATGTTTAGAATTACCTGGAGGTGCTGGAACTTCAGCAAACCACAGCCATATGTCAGCAAACACATTTTGTGCAGGCTGTGAAGGAGTGAGGCTAAGACTGCAGAAGTCAGCTCAGGATAAAGCTCCATCAGCTCTGACTCACTCACGCCGTTGTGGCTGACACCGATGACACACAGTATCTACAGAGAGCAGAAAACACATTTTGTGGTTAGCAATATTTCCTGCAGAGCTTAGTTACACTGAAATGTCAAGAAAAATATTGTTTATTGCTGTGATAACGTTATAGCCAAAGGAAAAAAAATCCTGCCTACACAAGCCCTTTCCCCCTTCTCTTGTCAAAGAAGAGACCTCAGTGCTAATGGATGAATATTCTAATAGATAAAGCACCAAATGGGACACTCTGGGATAAACAAATGGCTCCTTAGACTTTCCTCTAAAACACTGGGGAAAAATAACTTCATTATCATGAGGAACTTTCAGCTAAGTAAAATATGATGAAGGTTGTTATGCTGCTATTACCAAAGAAGTAGCAATTATTGAGTATCATGTCCTAATGAGGAAAAAAATGTTTCACACAAGAGGGTAATTCTGCAAAGGTAGGAAGAGAAGCCAGAAATGTAACAAGCAGTGCCCTGTAGTCACAAGATACCATGTTTTGACTGCATTTACTATGCTTAATATAGTTAATCACCAGATCAGGGTAGTGATCTGCAAGGAAGTGCTAACTCTATACCATATCATAGTGAAAGAACTCTGCTTTATTTTGTGAGACAACAGCTAAGTTTATATTTAACACAAAGCAGTCATATGTTCTATAGTTAGGGAACAGAATTAATTAGATTAATAAAATTGTCCCTTCTATACTAAACACTAATCTCTGAATCATACATATGAACCAATATAAACTTTTTTTTTATTTTTAAGTTAAAAAAAAACTCTTTACAGGAAAAGTGTACATTACCTGTAGAAATAGTGGCGCATTCTCTGCTTACCTCTCTCAAAAGACCTTTCTCTTTATCACTCTGCAATGATTCTTGAATTGATCTCAGAACAAGCCTGTACAATGACACTGTGTCTTGACATTGGCAACACTGCTGAAGGATTTCGTCAATATTTCCTGTATTTCCAACACTGAGTAGGAAGACAAAAAAGGGCAAGGTTGAGCATATTAAATTTGGCTGAGTCAGCTGGAATTGAAACCACTGAAGAGCTCTATCTCAAAAGTGCTCTGGATTCCTACTGAGTTCAAAAGGTGCACAGCACCTGGTGCGATTAAACACAGAAGAGGTGAGTACTAGAACCCACTTTCTGTCATATTGTCTGATTTTTCTAAATAGTAGCAGCATTTTATTGTAGAAAAAAGTAAATTGCAGTGTTCTTCCCTCCAGCAGGAGTACAAAATAAGAACATCAGGTTGGATAAAGATAAAACCATATGCCGCTGTTTCATTTAATGCATTTAAAAAGTATGTTTTCAGGAGCAATTAAGCCTTCTAGAACATAAAACAGAAACAAAAATAATGAAAATCAGTCACCTGGAGTAAATTATCAATTAGTGTATCATCTTCTGGGAGTCTCTTAACTAAAAATGCATCTTTCTCAACAAGATGAAGTCTAGGTTAATAATAAGCCAATGCATTTATTATTATTATGAGGTATTTTCTTGCACAAGAGGGGAGATTAATTTTCTCCACAGCAGGAATTATAAGGCTAAGTACCATATGCAGGATGTTAAACTAAACAGTTGCTGAACTTCCTTTTAGCCTTAAAAATCTATGAGGCAAGCTATCTGGTACATCAACAAACACAACACACCTGAATTTAACTGTTTAACAAAACAATATCACCACCCTCCAAATACCTTTAAAAAGTATTGGAGCAATAGACACACCCAGAAAGAAGAACAACATTAAAAAAAAGATACAACTATTTGGATTCATTTATTATCAAAATGGTGACTGTACAGTCTCTGATTTCTCTTCCCATTGCATTCACACTCAGTGCAGGGGGAAAACTTTGCACACTTCTCCACTCTTTTTTCAAAAGGCTAACAAACCTACTTAAAGTCTTCTAATCTAGTGATGAGCATAATAATTTCCAGAACATCTCAACTTACCAAGCAATGGTTTTGCCCAAGAGAGTGACATACAAAGCATTGCAAGTTGTGGCAGAACGACAGTGTCTCTCAAGCTTCTTCTCCTGCAACATTTTAAATAAAATCTGTGAACTGATGAAATTTATCAAACAAATAAAACAGTCACTGTTTGACAGGAAAATAAAAGTTCTAGACATTCTTCTATCCATAACATCTGAACACTAAGACATGGTAACTAGTGCACAAAATACTGCAGATTTTTCTAGCCATAGGAGCATATGAGTGAAAGTTTCCTTTTGAATTTAAGATGAAGAGTTAGGATATAACATTATATCTCAAAACGAGGATTATCTTACAGAATCAGTCTCCCTGACAAAGGTAAAATGCTGTTTTCCCCATTCGGCCAATCACTGTTACATTATTATGCAACAATAATTAATTAAAAATAATCAAACCTTCTAGTATGTTAAAATAAAATAACGCATTTACAGCAATATGTGCAACTGCACTGTTTATGTGTTAAAAATTTATGCTGCTCCATCTGTATTTCAGTGCTAGGAGCCGTTGCTATCTTAAGCAATGGTATTAAGTTAGCTAAATATAATACTTTCTTTTGGCAGCTGGGCTTTTTTCATCTTTCCATGCTTTCATTAAAAGTTATACCAGAGTAAGGTACTTCAGAAAAACTACAACAGACATACCTGCTCTTTAGTCAATTTAACATTTGCAGAGCTACATTCTGCACTAATGAGAGCTTTAACATCTTTGAAATTCAGTGGATCAAGATGAAGAGTGGGCCATAACCTTTGGTGAGAGAGAACAAAGTCATATTAGAACCTTATTAAATAGCACACAAAAGATAAAAAAAAAAAAGGTATCCCAGCTCCAGAGCTTTTTAAAGATTTATATCAAAGCAGTAATTGAAGCTGTTCCCTGCTACTATGAAATTCTAGTTATCTCAAGTCAAATTTCCACTTTTAACCTTATCCTGAATCTACAGCACAGTACTGCAGTTCTTGATGTGCATCTGACTGCATTTAATATCATCTTTTGTGCAGTCGTGTGGATATCCATCACAGTAAAACAGAAATCTGATTGTCCAACAGCTAAAATCTGTTACTGCAGCTACCACAGAGAAGCTCTCATTTGTCTCACAGGTTGCAAAAGCATGCCCTCTTAAATCTCCACATCTTGACAAGTCTGTCTGCTCTCTAAAATAATTTAAAATAATAATTCTAGCCCAGGCTGCTTTGAAACATCTCAGAAATATAACATACCTCCAGGCCTGGGGACACGTTTCTACATTCACTGACACAATCACTCTCACGTTCACTGGCAGTGGATCTATCAACCACTTCATATGCTTCTCAGCTTGCTTAAAAACAGATTGCAGGTGCTTAATATAAAGATTGCTCAAAACAATGCCAGAAGTTAATACATTTCATTAACTACACAACTCAGTGAAAGGAGTCTTAAATTCTCCAGCGTCCTTAAAAATTGTTCATGGTCTGATTCTTGAGACAGTAGTAAATGATCCAATTATAGGTATCAGCATGACTGTACACTACATCAAGCAGATAGAATACTACTGCTGAAATGTTCACCTCCTAAAAACAAGGCTATTTACAAGCCCAATAAGTCAGCTCACAGCCTTGAGTCTTTTGGTAAGTAATGTAACCAAACTGCTCAAAAATTAAAGTGTTAAGATAAATTTAGAAAAAAACAAACAAACAACCCAGCATAAAATTTATCTACAAAAATAACTCAACTGCACTTTTTACAAAACTATTTTCTATATGTTCTCTTTGGAGCAAAGCAAACACTAATATTTCCATTACACACCTATGGCTGAACCTATTACAGTAGTCAAGATTTCCTTTAGATTGACAAACGGCAAATACTATGAAAACATACCTGTATTTGGTCAATAGAATCAATAATTATAATAATGCTGCCATGATGGCGTGCAGAAAGTTTTTCCAGCCAACGGGGAAATTCTTCCAGAAGTTTAGCTGGATCAAAAGTCAGAGGTGACACTAACCAAGAGTGTTGCATAAGCTGCAGAATTATAAACACATACAAGAAATTCTACCTTAAAAATCATGTAGGACAGTTGAAAGAAGTCCTAAGAGGAAAAAAAAAAAACAAGAACAAGCAAACAAAAAACCCCACGTGATTTTGGGGCAATTTCTCTAGTCAAGTTCACACACAAACCTTTCCTTCCAGTATATGCAGAACAAAGACTATTTATTGAACTCAGCATGTAAATTCTAGAGAGATAACTTGAGTTTACACAATGGACAAGAAATTTGAAGACTTAAAAGACCTAAAGTTGCACCTGATAAACAGGCAAACTTCTAAAATACAAGAGGAAATTGCAAGGATAGCACTACTGATAACATTTTTCTAAAGGTTTTATACCTATAAGGTCCTTAGTGCCACCCTGTGAAGGAAAAAGAAAGCTCAGACCCTGGCACAAAAAGACTTATTCCCCACATATTTAGCACAATTAAACAATTAAATTAAGGTAGGAGAGAGACTAGTCTAGGAGCAATATGGTGCCAACCGGTAGAGCCTCAGGTTCCTAAACACATAGACAGAAGAGGTACGACCTGCCTCTCTCATTGGCCAGATGGCAAGGAATTTTGGAAGAAGCTTATATGGTTTAATTAGTCATCAACATAGGTCACTGGAAAGGAAACTGCTAATGTCAATCTATTATGAATATCCCAGAGATGCTATTTAATTTATCTATATTCAATGTGTGGGATCAGATTCCCCCCTTTCTACAATGCCTTACATTTCATAGATTAACAGAATAGTTTGGATTGGAAGGGAGCTTCAAAGATCACCAACACCCTGCAATAAGCAGGGACATCTTCAACTAGATCAGGCTGCTCAGAGCCCTGTCCAATTTGAACTGGAAAGCTTTTCTATTACATTTGTGTTACTTTTCATTGATGCAGAAAAATCTGCAGAAAATTTTATCTTTTGACATGCACTGGCACTTTCCAAAGCAAGAGGCAATGGGTATGTAATACAGCATACCTTCAAAGTAAGGCGTTTAATTATCAGCGCAGATTCTGAACTAGTAGACATGGGCCTCCCAACAAAGTGATAAAGAATTAGAGTGTTTGGTGAATGCTTCTGTTGTAATTGAATCCTAATGACAGAAGAGAGGGAAAAAAAAAAAAGACTCAATAGAGCGTAATTTTGCAAATGTATCTCAAACATAACCCCTCAGTTTTGCCAAAGAAGATACAGTATTTTAGCTAGAGGTGTTCCATGTTTATCTTACAAAATAGGATAGACATTTCCAGAGGTATAACTGAATTTTTAATATCAGATTCCATTTTTGTTCTCCCCAGTACTGACAGCAATTAACAAATGCCCTTCCTGGCACTGGATAGTAACTTTTAGGAGGCAGTGACACCATCAATTTATTTTTATGCCAGCAAATTTTGTCATAGCATACAAGTGACCACAAAATACATTTCTATGGTAAATTATTAGGATTTTTCCTTTATTTAGGTTAAAAAGACTCCAGAGGACCCCTCTTGTGTATCAGAAAAGGGCAACATGATTGAACCACCAAACCCACATAGTAATGCTGTGCAAAGACAGTTGTAAGATGTTGCAGTTGGAGTCAGGTAGATGTTAAAGGAGGTCCAGATGGAATTAACTACTCAAATATCACAAATCTTTCCACGATGTTTCAGTAACTACAGTGCATTGTAAATGCCCCGTTTCTACCTCTAATTAGACTGATACAATATTCAAAATGTAATTCTTTTTTCTTAAATTTCATTTTATTTTTAAAAAAAAATAAAAATGTAAACTACCATTTTGACAGGAGGAGAGATTTCCCAGAGCCTGGTCCTCCTGATACAAGCAGCGGTGGAATTGGTGCTGATGCAGCTACTAGGTCATTTAGACGTTCAAAATACTACAAAAAAGAAACAATCATTACAAATATTTCGCTCATTAAGGCAGAAATACAGTATCTGGTCTTGCAAACCATGTAGATTCAAAATGCATATACTGATTTATAAAGGTAAAGGAATGACTACTGAAATGCAACACAAATGAAATACAAATGGAAAAAATGTAAGGAAACACAAACCACAGAATATCTTTTTTAAAAGAAGTGTAAAATAAATAAAGTTTTTTTCATTAACAATGGAAACTTCAGTGCTAATAAAGGGGGTTAGTGTTACTATAGCAAAGCAACAGGGTGCAATATTTGTTCAAGCTTCCTTGGCCCCTCTTTCCCCAAACTACTCCACTGCAGTGGGTATGGTTGCCAGGACAAAGCCTTCAAAGTTGGCAAAAGCCATAATGATATTTTGAGACAGTAAGTACACAGAAGAAGGCCTTCTTTCACCACTCACTTGGGCTCACTTGGATGTCCAAGAATGTTGTAGCAGGTGACAAAAAAACAACCCAAACCACACTCAATATCTGCTTGGGAGAAATATTTTGTCTTCAAAATAAGAGGCACATTGAGATATAGATAGATATTTTTTTCATTAATGTTCTAATATTTTATTGCTCTAGAATGTAGTAAAGATGTACAGCCCTCCAAACCAACACCAGAATAAGAATACTGAAGTAAAAGAACATATTGTGCTAGTAAATAGGGGCACTAAGAATTTAAATACAATAATGCAGAAACTGCATGCTTATGTTAAATTATAACCTTAAGGAAGGTCGCCCAAATAAGCTGTTGCACCATGTTCTGTGACAAAGTTAATGTTTATCTTCCTGCACTCATTATACCTTCCCTCACAACTTGAAATATTTTGAAAACTTTATGTCCAGTCATGAGTAAGTACTGAGCTATTCTGCAGCCTTCTTTCCTGTGTTCTTCTTGCATGGCTGCAAGATGAGGTGCAATCTTTTCATTAGTCATATCCTAAAGACCTAAATTCAGGTGTCAAGACAGAGATTGGAAAAAGAAAAAATAAGAGAAAAACAGAAATTAAAAAAAAAAAAAAAAAAAAAAAAAAAAAAAAAAAAAAAAAAAAAAAAAAAAAAAAAA